ACTTGGACAAACTCGTCCACATGCAATTTGATTTGCTTTTCTTATTTAATGGAACCACAGCATTTCTGAAAGTGTGTCTTCAGTGTTGGAGGCATGTCGACACTTTTGTGCACATTTGTAATGGAAATGTGGATACTGTAACACAGACCACTACCTGCCATTGTCACTGTATGATAGCCTGGAGTAAGATCACTATTAATTAATTTTCAGCCATGTTGTCCTTACAAAGTACAATTAATTAAAAAATAGTCAGATAGTTCTTTGCTAAAATAGTTCTAATACATGTTCAAGTCAAACAAATAATAAAAATAATGTTTACTTGATCCAAGTGGACTGACTAAACTACTGTATGTAATGAACCAGAGTACCTTTATTTTACTGTTGGTTGAAAGCAAGAAATCTAAATTGGTGCACATACTGAGAAATTGTAAAAAATTGTGTCTGACAAATATCAAAACTGTAATGAAACAACTGAAACAATTCAGGCATTTTAGGTAAAAGTTAAACTCTTTTGGTGTCAGTGACAGAATCCTAATGGTCTTCTATGTTTGTTTTTCTTCCTAATCAGTCTTTCTGTTAGCTATGTCTAAACCGCATAGTTAACATAAACTCAAATGTTATTGCCATGTCCTCACCATGGCAAACAGAAGTCAGGAAATGATGCATGTGCTGTAATTTTCTGACCATCCTTCCCTAAATTGGACATGGACTGATTAGCTGTAAATAATTTGCTTTTGAAGAAATTGTTAATTTGGCTACATTAGGTTAATACAAAGTTTACACCAACTGGGTCTATTATGAAATGATTTATTTTATTTTTTTTTTTTTTACGTATTTGTAACATTCATGATTATGATAACAAAAGCTGCTGACTCATGAAGGTCAGCACTTGTCAAAAGCAGCAAACATCCCTGCAGGAGGCGTGTTAAAATAGAAAATCTATTTCCTGCGCTTGGTTTCCTCCCTTTCTCCTGGCTTGATTTCAGCTCCCTACCTGCTGCTTTCAAATATTGAATTTCATGTCCGTGAATACCTGAGGAGAGACGGTACCGTGTGACGCGTCTTCCTGGTGAAATAATGATAATGTTCCTGTACGTCCAGCTGCGTCCTGAACCCCGAGGAGCGTGAACTCTCATGCAGCAGCTTTTCACATTACACCTGCCGTCTTTTCTATGCTCTAAAAAACTTCATCATCTCCACTTATAGAGACACATTGCAACATGACATCACACACGCAAAACCCCACCCTGCACCTCAAAGCATAAAAAAACTTCTCACTGACAATGGCTGCCATGGGCTTCAACCGTCAGGTTGTCAACATAATATGCTGAATCTTAAATGTACGTGTTGTACATTTAAATGGGACACAGTGCTTTGCCACATTTCACAGGTTAGTGAAAAGGTTTCATTGGGAAAAGAAGGAAAGAAGAGGGAAATAGATCAGTTATGCTAGCTTGACTTTGAAAACCTTAACATGTAGATGTGCTGCAGAATTCTAAGACGGTGTCTGAAGGGCATTGTGACAGGAAAAAATGAGTCCTTTACCCCCTAAAATATAATAATTTTTTAGATTAATTCAAGAAAGTTTTAGAAAACACTTGCGCATTTCTGAGTTTTAACAGGTAACTTTTTCTTTTTTTACGAGATTATTCTCAAATTCCTGGGTTTTGTCTCTCAATTGAATGTTTTTTGGCATATATTTACTTCTTTTTAAAAAATGTTATGATTATTTCTTCCTAAAATAACCTGAATACTCTGTGGTAGAATCCTGCATGTTTCAGATGAATAAAAAAACAAAAAACAAAAAGGCGTACTGTCTGACAGACAGCTCCTCTGTAAAGCAGGTGTTAACAATAGCTAATTAGCCACTGCTGTGTTCATATGATCACTTAATAACATAAAACAAAAAAAGCCAGCAAACATTATAATGGACTGAATGTTCTTTCTTTTTGTGTGGGAAACGTTTGCATTTGATTTTGAGTCTTGATATTCTAATGGGGCTGTTGTCAGTCAGTTTCTACTGGCAACGGGTCTGTGAGTAACGTAGCCAAGATGGAGAGCGGGAAAAAATTAGTAGTGGCTTTGACTTAAATTATTCTTCAATGATTTTTCAAAATTATTTCTCTTTGTTGTGGTGCGTTACACCAAATTCATACCACCTTCATCTCCAGCTTTCATTTTGTTGGTGAAATTGTTCTAGTACAGCAAATAAAAGAATCGTCTCTTTGCCCTCCAGAGGTGTGTGAACAATAGTTCCAGACTGCAGGCTTTGTGTTCTCCTTTATCTTTCTGCTTCTGTGGCTTTTCTGAAACCCTGCTTCCCTCTCTGACCCGCTGCATTTCTTTTGACTTTGTGTTTACATTCAGCATGAGAGGCACGAATGCATCCAGATTGTGTTTTATTTTCTTTTATAGATACATTCTGAGTAAGAGCTACCTTTACACATCTGTCTTCCTAAGGGCTTCATTGGGGAAAAAAAAATCTTTTTATTTATTTTGGCCATAAATACTCACTAAAAACCATTAATTCACTCACTGGAAAATGAAACATAAGAAGTAAAGTTGCACACAGACACATTTTCCCCTTTAATATTATCTATTCTTCAGTGCAGCCAGACAAACCCATCAGGCTTTATGAGTCTCTGAGGCCTGCTGCTGCCACTGATTCACAGAGCCGGCCTATCAGGCACATCCACACAGCGCTCTCCAGTGTTTCCATGAATATGTGAGCATCTCCTGCCGCCGGTTTATGTCTCCCGTGAGAACGGCCTGTTGAACCTGGAGCAGGCGGCGTTCATAGATGATGGCTTTCCCTTCTGAAGGAAAGAGGCGGAGGCTGTGATAATGTTGTGGGAGAGACGGACACGCACAGTTTCCTCCAGCAGTCCTCCTCCGCCTGACCTCCACTTTGTGCTGGGAAGACGAGCAGAGACGACTTTGACTGATGCAGCGTGAGGCTGATTGATTGATGCCCGGTGGGCTGCAGTGTCAAGTAAAATCTCTTACATGTTATCATGTTATTCTGTGTTCAAAAACAAACATTGTTAAAGGGCCAATAGAGGAGCCATGTTGTGATGACTTCCTGGAGGGGAGTTTCAGAAAGAGCAGAAGCTTTTTTAAAGAGACAGAGGCCCAATTTTAAGCTGTAAAATCACAGCTTAAAATTGTTTGAAATTTAAGTCAAACGTGACTTAAATTTATGTTAAGTCATGTTTGACTGCAGTTATGTTGGAGCAGGAATAAATCATCAGAATGTCATGGCAGAGGCAGAGCCACGGCGCGCAAATCAAAATTCAAAATTTCGATTTGTAAACACACCCACACACACTCGGTGAGGACAGTATTATTGTGCATATCCAACTGGCCGATTAACAGCTGACGCAGACACAAGGGGCTTTTTTATGTAGGAGTTTACAAATGTATGACAGGATGCCTGAAACAAGCACAGAATAACTCCTGAAAAAGAATCAAATAAAAAGCTCGAGTCAGACGGAAGAATTCTTGACAAATGGTGAGACGTAAATCTGAACAGATGTGAATAAACTGCTGTTAAAGAGTGAATCCATGAATTCTGAACTGACATCTTTACTGAGAACAGAGTCTTGCCTCGACTCTCTGATGCAGCTTAATCGAAACCACTTATCCAGGAAACGACCCCAACGTTCAGACCATCTTCAGAATCGTCTCTTGCATGGACATCTGGAACAGGACGTTCCTGCCAAAAGGAGGCAGTGAAACTCCAGTGCATCGGTGATACAGAACACACCCAGCAATGGACAATTTAACACTGCGAAAAAAACACAAAACCTTTACAAGTATCCTCGAGCAAATATCTAGTCACACTTGAAAAGAGGCAACACTAATTTACAAGTAACTTTTCATGACTAGTACCATTGGCAGCTTTTTGTTCTAACTGGGTAAAAAATGTGTTATCAGTAAAATAACGTTTTTCACCTTCAGCCTGAGCCTGATGCCGACTGCCACAGGTTTCAGTCACTTGCATCAGAGATCTGATGTTTTTCTTTTATGATTCAAGACATTCTGAACTTTTTTTTTTTTTTTTAACTCAAAATCTTCAACACCATTCCTTTGTGAGATGAGCTATGGGTGGGCATTTATTGTATGATAAATTCCTTATGGTAAGAATTTTGATTTTGTTTTCCTTTTCACAATAAATCAAAATGAATGATTAAAAACACCCCATAATTGTCTGCGCTGTCAGTTTTTTTTATGATTATTATCCTTTGCTGTTTGTTCAATTGGAGCATAAATAAATCAGTACATTTGAAAATATGTTTAAATGAAGTTTCTGCATGCAGTTTAGTGACACTCTTCTGTTGTGACTTTTGTCTTGCTGTTGAAAAACTTGGGGATGTTTCTCAACAGCAGCATTTGTGTTTTTGTGGACTATGTAACTGCTGTGCCCCTAACAAAAGAAAAAATTGTTTTTATTGTTATCACAATAGTCCCAAAAATTGTATTGATTAATTAAAACAAACTGTCAAATAAAAGCAAGAAAAACAAGATGGCGAGCGCTTCACCCACAGTGATTGTCACGCTGAATTTGAGAATAGTTAAATAAATTATCAGAGGGCCTAGATATGATTATTCTGTTGTAACATTTATGATTAATATCTTATGACATTTCAAAGTATTAATATTGCAAAACTTTTCAAGTGTGATAACCTGAAGGTTGAGCAGCTCAACTCTTGCTACCACTATTAACACTGTGCAACTGTTTCTTTCTCTGGATATAAATACATTGTTTTCATCTATTAAAACAGTAATGATTTTCCTATTTAGTATAAATAGTTGGAAATAAGTGGATTTCAAAATTTCCACTCAAAGTTTGCAGGGCAGGTCTGGATGGATAACCTTTTCTGATTCATGTGTTTACTCTTGTCTTGAACTACGTGAACAAACCGTTGGAAGCTGTTTTGTTTAAATATCAACAGCTCATTAGAAGTTCGGAGTAACGACTCCTCTCTCCTACGCCTCAGGTCGGAAGTTCGTCATCGCCAACGCCAGAGTGGAGAACTGCGCCATCATCTTCTGCAACGACGGCTTCTGCCACCTGTGTGGCTACAGCCGAGCCGAGATCATGCAGAAGCCTTGCACGTGTAACTTCCTGTACGGGCCGGACACCAAGAGGCTGGCCATCGCCCAGATGGCGCAGGCCCTGCTGGGCTCCGAGGAGAGGAAAGTGGAGATCAACCTGTACAGGAAAGACGGTAGGAGAAGGAAAAGCTCTTGGCTTTGTGTCGGTCGGGACGCTATTGAGTTTGATTTTGTTGAGTTCTTTGGGTCTCATTACCTGGAGAAGTTGAATCTGGGAATGAAGTTTGAGTTCTCAAAGTTGAACTTTTGACAGATTTGGTTTTAGTTCAGAGCTTTTGGTGAGGATGGTTACTTTTAAGTAGTAATAGTTTTGTTTGACATCAGTTTACTTTTTTTGTTCCATTAAAAGTATTTCAACAAAATCCCACCTCTTCTTTGCCTCTTCTGTTTGACAATCTGTTAGGTCTATTATAGATGGACAGAAAAGGAGTTCTGAGCTGTGAAACTAAAAAAAAAAAAAAGCAGATTTTCTTCCTGTTCAGGTCTGATCTTGGAGAATCAAGTTTTGCAGTGTTTTACTGAAGAGGTGAGATGGGAGTTGTACATCAGAAACCTTCTAGAAAACAGAAGTAGGGTCATTTTTGCTATACTGGCAAGCGACATGAATGGGGAGTCCACAACATTTCTGACGGGTGGATAAAGTTTAGAAGTAAAATAGTTGTGCATTCCTTTCTTACCTGTTGGCCGGTGATGGAGCATAAATCATAAATTCAGTTCTGTTTCCTTCTCTGTTCCTCTCTTCGGCCGTGGAGTAGATGAGGTTGATGGCTCTGCTGGCAGCAAATCAATTTTTTTCAATGTTTTTTTTTTTTTTACGTTTTATTTTTAGTGTAAGAGTTATTTCGTTTGAGAAGAACAACCCAGGAGCTGCGATTCCATTGACCATAAAATTGCACAAATTGGAATTATGAATACAAATTTGCCTAATGGAAACATGCCAACCTTGAAAATACTCTGTTTTTGTGAAAAGGTTTCAGTGTTAGATTGAGGATTTTTTTGTTTGTATCGAAATTGGTTTTATTTCTCAAAGTTGCAATGGTGTCACTTTTCTGCATCACACGTCACATCATAAACAACCGGATGTTGCCACTGTCGCAACCCACGAAGAAGAAGATGACAGGAAGTAGTTGGAGGATGGTGGTGGAACATTTTTTAAAATAATTATATACATGAACAAACTTATTAATGTGTGATTTTTATCACAATTGCAAAATAGTTTTTTTTATTATTAAATATTGATAAAATTTTGTGCAAATATGTAATGGAAACGCTATTGTTCATTGTTGAACACACTGAGTTTGTTATAAGTTCATAATATGATCAGAAATATTACAAACCTCTGATCTGTTCAAACAGCTCTGCTATGTAGGGCCTTGTATAAAAACTTTTAATGCCTCAAACTGCCAGTTCTATACATAACAGAACTTCTCAGTGCTCACTCACTGTGACCCCAGTGAATCCTCTGTCCTAGTCATCTATGACACACACACACACCCACACACACACACACACACACACACACACACACACACACACACACACACACACACACACACACACACACACACACACACACACACACACACACACACACACACACCACACACACACGCAGGTAACCCCGGTGGGCCACCTTCAGGCCCTCAGAGAGCAGCTGATGGAACGCTGTGGACACGCCTCATCCATAATGCACAGTGAGCAGAAACACTACGCTGCCTCCTCCTGTCTCCTCTGCCTTCACGTCTCCAGCCTGTTTGCTGCAGCCAAACATGGGAGGAGAAGTAAAGAGAACTGAGAATATCGCTTTACCCACGCCAGGCGGCCTGAATATTATGGAAGTGTGTTTTTAGTAACGATAGCGCCACAACCCACAGGTCCAGCAGATATATGGAAACAATGAAAAAAAAAACATGAGAAGTCACACACAGGGACGTTGATCTGAACTCATTCATCTAGTGCCACGTCTGGGCCTTGGTGCTGATGGATCTTCTTTCCTGCTGCTGTGCTCAGCTGTCCCAAGTCCTGCTGCTCACAAGGTTCATCAGTCAGGCTATCCAAGCTAAATGCAGCAGGGAGGATGCTCTCTCTCTGACACACACACCAAGAATCAGAACAAAGCTGCTGCTCAACAATAGCCTGGTACTGGTTACAGTTTGTGGGGTTCTGTTGATCTCTGGGTTGAAACGTTGCTGACGTCATTATTGGTATTTAACACTTCTAGATGTAACAGTTGGTTGAGGCTCCTGACAGGAAGAGGACAGAAGGTTCAGTAAAACTTTATTTGACGGGTTGTGAATAAGACTGTCATGACACTGTCATAAACATGACATAACACCTGTCATAAACATGAGTAAGTCTTCATGAATATTTATGACTGTTGTCAGAAAATGTCATTCGGTAAATAGAATAGAACAGAATAGAATTCAACTTTATTGTCAAAGTAACGAAATGTAGTTTGCATCTATCCAGAAGTGCTATACAGGATATAAATATTTATAAAAAGTTGTACAAAGATATAAACAGAGAATAATATTGACATGCTGTAAATGTTTTGTACAAATATAAATATAAATCAAGACACTTTTAATACAAAGTTGACATTATTCAAAATATCTTTGTTATGAAAACTTGACATTAACCAAGAGATCATGGTCCAACATAAATTTGTTATAAAAGTATTACTGATTAAACTTTACAAGATATGTAGCTCAATGTTATTAAAGCTAAAATTTCAGCTACGTATTCTTCTTCACAACCCATCAAATAAAGTGTTACCGAAGGTTCATTTGTGTTCACATTGTCCCAGTTATTTTTCCTGATCTGACTTCCTGAAACCAATGTTTCAGAAAGAACAGGAGCTTCTTAAAGAGACAGAGACCCAATTTCAATTAGTTAAATTACAAAATCAAATTGAAATATGTATATCATTGTTATGATAGCTGATGGTAACATAGTTACTGGATTGTGCTATAAAATGATACTATGTGCCTGGAAAACACATAATACTGCCCCTTTAAATGAAAGGCAGAAGGAAAATCCACCAGCACCAGGGATGTGTTTATCAGTTTTTGCATGTGGTGAGTTTGTAAAAATGAATATTTCAGGGTGTTGATGCTGCTGTGTCAACATGTTTGGTTTCCTTGCCCTTTTGTCGATTGACACTATCTCCACAAGTCCGTTGGGAGACGATCAGGAGATGAATGGACTGGATGCCGTTGTGTATTGACTTACCCATAAGCACATGAAAAAGGGTATTAATGCCTGCTTGAACTGAAACAATGTGATCCATTTATGACCATTAATTTGGTTGCACCCAGCTGGCAACCTGCTCCACAAGCACAGTGCTGTAAAACGGGGGCTTATCCGGGACATTACAACTGCCGCTGCAAACTTAGCACACCCGGTTTCTCAGTCTGGTCACCCGATTGCTCTGCTGGGTGCCGTCATGAAGCAACTATCTCAGGAGATGTCTGTCAGTCAGACTGCGTGGGTGTCCTAAAAGCCCCATCCTTCGATAATTCAGCACCTTGAGGAATGGAGAGTCCTGTGTGACATGAGGGGTGGCGTGGAGAGGGGGTGGATTGCTTAGCAGGCGTAGCTAAGCAAAGCACTTAAGAGAGCAGGAGGCTCTCAGGAGAGGTTAGCGCTCTGCGCCGTGAATGAGTCCACCTCCACCAAAGAGCACATAATGTGCACACAAGCACGTAGTCAGTTGTCGCCCACACAACAATAACAACAACAACAAGTAACACCGGGCTTTGGAGCTAATAGCAAATCCTTCCCCCGTTTTCATACTGCTGATGGAAAGCTGTTGGTTTGTTTTGGTGGGGAAAAAAAGACAAAAGTGAATAGTGTTGTGAAATTCCACTCCGGCCAGGCTGGATGGGCATCTTCTGTGCTTCTGTATGGTGCTGTTTGCTCATGACATGAAGCAATAATAGGAGGCAAAGTGAAAAAAAAAAAAAAAAAACAATCTAGGAGCAATATAGAATAATCACGTCCACGTCTGACTAGTTCATGTTGCATTGTTCTTGTCAAACTCTAAGCTCATCATAATGTGCACATGAAGCGCCTGCAGCTACACTAGGAAAATATTACACATATGACTCCTTCAGCTGGAACTTAACTGGCACGTGGTCATAATATCATCACAGTTGGGCATGGGCCATCTGTTTTTTATCTGTTTTTATTTATTTTAGAACTTTGAGGTGTTTAATAATGAATAAATAATTACATTGTTAGCTCAAATAAAACTGCACCAACACAGGCTTAATTGTAAAATTTACCGTCACAATGACTTAGTTTACAGAAAGCAATACATTATTTATAATATTAATAACAGTTGTGATTAATAATATTGTGATCAGAAGTTGTTCACAAGCAATCAACAACTGTCAGTAATAACTGTCAGCTTATTACTGATAGTAATAGTAGTCCACATTGCTCCTCTCTCATCTTTAACTGGTTTTATCATATTGTTTATGCTTTATGAAAGTTTTCCGTCTTCCTTCATGTGCAGTCTTTGTGTTTTTTTCTTAAGACATTTCTGGGCTTCAAGCTGCAGCTTCTCTGACAAAGCACAGAGGTTCAAAGTCTCGCCTTTCATCCCTTTTTTTGGCTCCTTCACACATTTCTCACCACTTGAATCTGCATTTGGATAATATGTTAATTTTTTTTACTCCCCTTTCTCTTTTCCATGTGTGAACGTTGGAACGCGAGCGAGTCGGAGGGAAAAAGAGACTCGGCTAAGCTTCAGAGCCTCGGCCTGTTTTTCACTTTATTAGTTTTCTAATTGAGGTTTTCAGGCTCTTTTCAGTTTCAGTTCATGTTTATGGTGAAGCTACATGAATTTCAGCTCAACAGATTAATGAAGCTGAGCTACCATCGGTGATTATGGTTAGACCTGAAATATTAATGCAGTCAATAGCATAGGATGCATATTAGCATTTGACTGTTGAGCTTTTTCTACAAACGGAAAGATTGAAGCTTCTCCATAACCGTATGTACAATAACTCCTTCACTCTCCTGTCAACAGTGAGAATCTATAACCTTTATCTATAACTTAACTCTTCATTTTTTTCATAAGGGTCTAATTAAACTGAATAATGGTCAA